CACTAGGCCTGTGCGGTTTCGTTCGTTAATTTCGTTATTCGTTAAACATTCGTTATTTTTAGCATTTACGAAATGATATCAAAACACTTTTTCAAACCCGGAAGGGTTTTAAAATATCGAAGCGGCATCCCCCATCCTTTTAACGAGCTTCCGCCCGTTTCGGAAATTGGATGGAGGATGCTGGTGCCTGGGAGCCAATCCGGCGCTCCCAAGCACCCAAGCAGTGCACCGTGGCTGATTTTGATTGGCCGGCAAGGCCTTTAAAAGCGGCTCCGCGTGGCCGCAGAGCTCATTTGTTGCGCGGAGGCGAGGGAGGAGAGAGGTCCGGGAGGGCTGCTGCTTTGGGTTGGCTTGGGCAGGAAAAAGACTTGCATTGGGTTGGCTTGGTTGAAAAGAGTAGACTCTTCTGTTGGTGTGTGCTTTTGGCTGTCTTTTGGCTGTGTGTCTCCTGCCTGTGTTAGCTTTTATTCTTTAAAATTCTTTAAAATTTTATTCTTCTGCCTTTTATTCTTAAAAAAAAATACAAAAAAATTCCAAAAAAAGAGAAGACTCTTCTGTTGGTGTTTGCTCTCGATTGCTCTGTCTTTTGGCTGTGTTAGCTGTTCATCAGGGCCAGTTTTTGGTTAATTTTCCATTTTTGAATATTTTTAAAAATACCTGTCTTTTATTCTTAAAAAAATACAAAAAATATTCTAAAAAAAAAGACTCTTCTGTTGGTGTGTGCTCTCGATTGCCCTGTCTCGTGGCTGTGTTAGCTGTTCATCAGGGCCAGTTTTTGGTTAATTTTCCATTTTTGAATATTTTTAAAAATACCTGCCTTTTATTCTTAAAAAAATACAAAAAATATTCTAAAAAAGAAAAGACTCTTCTGTTGGTGTGTGCTCTCGACTGCCCTGTCTTTTGGCTGTGTTAGCTGTTCATCAGGGCCAATTTTTGGTTAATTTTCCATTTTTGAATATTTTTTAAAAATACCTGTCTTTTATTCTTTAAAAAAATACAAAAATATTCTAAAAAAAGAAAATACTCTTCTGTTGGTGTGTGCTCTCACTTGCCCTGTCTCGTGGCTGTGTTTGGTCCACATCAGGGCCAGTTTTTGGTTAAGTTTCCATTTTTGAATATTTTCTAAAAATACCTGCCTTTTATTGTTAAAAAAAAACCCAAAATATTCCAAAAAAAGAAAATACTCTTCTGTTGGTGTGTGCTCTCACTTGCCCTGTCTCGTGGCTGTGTTTGGTCCACATCAGGGCCAGTTTTTGGTTAAGTTTCCATTTTTGAATATTTTCTAAAAATACCTGCCTTTTATTGTTAAAAAAAACCCAAAATATTCCAAAAAAAGAAAATACTCTTCTGTTGGTGTGTGCTCTCACTTGCCCTGTCTCGTGGCTGTGTTTGGTCCACATCAGGGCCAGTTTTTGGTTAATTTTCCATTTTTGAATATTTTCTAAAAATACCTGCCTTTTATTCTTAAAAAATACAAAAAATATTCTAAAAAAGAAAAGACTCTTCTGTTGGTGTGCTCTCGTTTGTCCTGTCTCGTGGCTGTGTTTGGTCCACATCAGGGCCAGTTTTGGGTTAATTTTCCATTTTTGAATATTTTCTAAAAATACCTGTCTTTTATTCTTAAAAAATACAAAATATTCGCTTTAACGAATCGATTCGTTATTATTTCAATATCGAATCGAATCGTATTTAATAACGACGTTTCGGAAGCCGCTTTTGCGCATGCGCGATCGCGTCCGCCATTTTAACGAATCGATTCGTTATACCCTTAACGAATCGACCTCCGCGCCAATAACGAAGCTTCGGAAGTTGTTCTGCGCATGCGCGGGGGTCCGCCATCTTTACAAAATGTTTTGTAAATATTTACGAAATTTCGTAAATACCGAAACTTTTTTTGGGAAAGTTTTGTAATTATTTTAAATATCGAAACAAAAAAACACCCCAATTACAAATCGATTTTAGAAACAATTTTTTTCTTGATCAACCAGGCCTAGTAGACACAATTTCACCAGGTGATAAGTGGGATTAAACCACACTGGTCTCTTGCATATGAGCATGGTAAACATAACATTTACATTTTTGTTCAAAACCCAATGGCTTTTGAAAAAAAATGCATTTTTTTTACATTCTTGTAAATAGTCCAAAAAAGTGTTTAAAAGTGTCAAACCCTTCAAAAGGATGATAATGATGTTTGTTTGTTTTTTGTTAGATAAAAGTAAGTGAACGTGTGCTTCCCTATTTTGCTATATTAAAGTTGCTCCTAGACCTGGAGATGTTACATAGAAGTGGTAACTGTGACCAGGAACATGTTTGCTGCTCTTGCATTACTGTGCCAATTGTATCCATTTTGAGGGGAGGGGTATTGGCTAGTGCCTATGGGAATGTATGGGATGAATTGGAACGGTAATTAGGAGCAACCAAAGTAGGGATATTATTCAGATGATCTGATAGAATTCCACTTACCTTGTTAGCAGTGAAATTGCTTTTCATTTGTACTTCGTTATTTGGACCTGTTCCAGCATTCTAAGGTTTTGGTTTTATTCTAAAATCATTGTAATGGATTCATCAAAATATTATTTTACTACAAGGTGATGTTTCTTATAAGTTCTTCTGCGTTTTGGCATTCTCAGCCTCATGGTGGCTGCAGACTCAAATGCTTTCATTTATTTGTTGTGAGAATTACTCTGATACTGAGAAGGAGTTGAACTAAAAGTAAGGAGTAAGAAGGAGAAGCTGCAAGGACCAAGAAATAATAAAGAAAAATAGAGCCTGAAGTTAGGGGGTACTTACATCTGACCAGTCTCTGAAGAAGATGATTGACACAAAAGGCTGCCGATTAGTGAAATTATTCCTTCAAAGACTGGACATTGCTCTATAAATCTTTGTGTGGAATATATCTTGACTCTGGGATTTTCTCTAGCTCTGACATTTACAAGATTTTTCTATGCTACAAGCATTTATTATTATTCGATTTTGGGGACTATTTTTTCTACATTTTTACTACAGTATTCTACCATTTAATTAATTAGAGACCTATTATTGAACATAGCTCTGAAAGAGTTATCATGAGGAAAAGGTGTCTCCACTGAAGTTTGATCACCAATCCTTGTTTCTACAACAAGCCAAATTTTCCAAAATCCATGATCACAGGGACAGAAAATGAGTTCCCCTTAAGAATGTATCTGTTCTGACTTACATACAAATTCAACTTAAGAACAAACATACAGAATCTATCTTGTTCATAATCTGAGGGCTGCCTGTATGTTGTTGAACCCAAATATACTAGATTTCCTTTGCTCGCAAGAATTTCTGTATCAAGGTAAATTCATAGTTTAGAATGCAGTAATTTGCCTCTGCTGAAACGATTTGACATTCTACATTCTGTGTTTTAATGGGATTTATCATTGGCTCTTATGTATTATTTGACTGAAATAACAAAGAGCCATCATCTAATAAAATTATTGCAATTATAATTAAAACATGAAACAGATGGAAAATAAATCAAAGAAAGAAAGAATAGAGCAAAACTCAAATAAAACACAGCTTCCAGGTAAATAGTTGTCTAAATAGAGGTCTTGCTGCCAGGAGCATAATAGGGAGAAGGCCATTTTAACGTTTTTTATAGGGAGTTTCCCACCTTGGAGAAGTCTCCAAGAAGCCCACTCTTACATTTCTGCCAAGCCAGAAAGGTTCACATGAGAGCACATGGTTTATGTCTAAATTGTTTATTCATTTTATTTTTAATTAGGTGATTAGATTCCAGTTAAATTACAGAGTAGAAAATTGCAAGTTACTCCAGAAGACTTCAGAATGATGATCTAAAAGTCTCTTGGTCTGACAGATCAGGTTCTTAGTACGTTTACTGACAGATTATTTTGTTTGCTCACTCTCAGTGAATAAAGTTAATCTGAGGAAATTAATATCCAGAAGTGAGTTTGTGTCTTCTGAAATACTTCTCTTTTTGTCTTAAAATTGACCGAAATAGAAGTATTTTTCAAAAATAAATAAATAAAATTAAAATAGGTAAAATAAAATAAAATAAATCCACCATATTGTAGGTATTCATAGCAAGTTTAATTTGAATAACACTTTTAGACTGCAATTTGTTGCACACTGAAATCTCCAAGTGATCTTAGTGGCACTTCAGTCTTGAGAAGATATGCACGTGATAAAGTCGTAAGATACTCAACCACATTGATTTAACTGTTGATTTTTATAGTCTTGATATTATATAAAATTGTCATTTAGAAATTAGAGCCACAGAGATTATTGTGATTTGCATTCTTTTTAACATGGGTTAGTTGGCAGTCTTAATATTAGAATGATCTGCTCGGTAGAAGTGATGTGTCTCTAAACTGCATTGTCAATACTAAGAAAAGGGAGTTACATTTAAATCTAACTGGAATCAATATCACTCAAAATATTACAACTAACCCTTTCAAGCTTAGCCAGCTATTTTGGGACTGGAATAATTGTGAAGAGACCAAATCCTAGAAATAACTTTACCAGAATATTTAGAACAGTAGTTCTCAACCTATGGGTCCCCAGATATTTTGGCCTTCAACTCCCAGAAATCCTAGCAGCTGGTAAACTGGCAGGGATTTCTGGGAGTTGTAGGCCAAAATACCTGGGGACCCACAGGTTGAGAACCACTGATTTAGAGGATGCTAGTTCTCAAAAGGTCAAAGGAGTACTCTTATTTCTATTGACAATTTGTTCTTTTTTGAAGTTTGTAATATTACAAATTCAGACAAAACAGAAGGCCTACAGAATAGACCACACACCTACCCACGTTTCTGCAGTGAATGATGACACCTTTCTTGGCACTCAGCACTAATTCCAACGGAATTACAGCCTTCTATAAACCTTCCTGTGTCAAGTCATTTCCTGCTCTTAGGCCTTCTAATAGGGATCTGTTCTCTTCATCCTATACCTGCTTGACCCTTTTTCCCCTGCCCTTGACTCCCATCTTCCCTTGTCTGCTTTTTGCCCTCTCCTAGGGACTGCTACTGACTCATCAGCCTATGCCTGCTTGACAGTGGTAATTGCCTCTCCCAGAAACCCATGCCTGATGGACCCTTCCAACATGGGCCAGCTGCCAGCCTCAGTCTCCCAGTATAGGTAGGCAATCCATGTTGTCCATGTTATGATAGTCTCCTAAATTAAGCCTACCTACTGAAAACAGGTGGTAAGTAGGAACAGAATGGATGGTGGTTTTACACTACTGGCACCTCTGCAATGTTAAGTTGTAGAACCTTAAGTCGATGGTGGAGTGGGATGTCAGGGAGAGGTATATGAGTTAATGAGTTTTGGGAACAATTTAGGAGGATATTCCGGGTTGCTCATATGAGTAGACATTGTTTTTCGTCATCTTTAGAAATTAAGTTCATACTTAACTCTTTATGAGAGCATGTCATGGAGTGTGGTCAGATAAATCTGGTATAGTCCAAAAGCTCATTGAAATGCTTAATGCCTTCTAAAGGTACTATGTATTTCTGTTGTATATGGTGATAACCAGCTAGGTTATTGCTATAAAATAATCTATTATCACAGATATTTTTGCTTTCTCTCTGAACATATAAAACAAGATGATACTCAAATTAGCACAATTACACCAATATTGTCTTACAATCACTGGCTTTCTTCATATCCTAGGTCTTTCCTTGCGTTGTTAGCAGATGTCTTGTAACTGAAGATACTATAGATTGAAACTCAGATTTTCTGCTTCCTAAAGCATATGCTCTTATATGCATTTCCCTTCTTTTTAGTTTTCTAATAGATAGAACCAAAATATTTTGTACATTTTTAAAAAATGGTCAGAATATCATTAGTGCTTGATGCTGATACAGAGATGTGAAATAATGTAGTCAAGAAACACATAACTCCATAGAAATTAAATTAAATGTTGTAGAGTTTAGGTTTTATTATGCTTTTTGCTGTCTGTCTTTATTTTTGCAAATAGTCAGTGTGTGTGTGTGGGAGAGAGAGAGAGATTATTTTGTTTATATTTTAGGGATGTGTTCTGACTCACATTTGGTTTCAAAGAGAAACCAGGGAAGCTTACCTTTTTACAAGCTTTTGCTTACAGTGAGTACCACTGCTAAACCTGGTTTCTGGATAAGACTGTTGGAAATATCCCTTAGTTTAAAAGATTTGAAGTGAACTAGGATTTGTGCTTTGGGTGTTTTTGGGTTTTGTTTTTGTTTTTTTGTTTTGCTCTCAATGTGATGCTTAGTCTTTACTTTTTCTTTTGTTTTAAAAAAACCCAACAACAATGTTTTTGTTCATCTATGTCTCTCATTTTGAAAAGAAAGATTTCTTTGACCTTGTATAGTAAATGGAAGGATTTTATTTTATCATTCTAAATTCCTTTTGTGCTTTTATCAGATGTTTGCTAGATTATTGCAATAGCTTTCGTAGTAGGAAAGAAAAAGATAATTTAACTGAATTATTTCCTAGAGAAGAAGTACTGTTGACCTGGATAATCTGCTGGGTCCAGTAAAGAGACAACGTGCTTTTTTATCCCTGCCCCTCTTGGTTGGTCATTGAGGGAGGAGATGCAATTTGATCTCAAATAAAATCTCTCAGAGTGGGGAACTTTCCAACTTGCTTAAAATAATTAGTAGTTAGACCACTGCTGAAATAGTCTTCCCTGGATCCTCTAGACTTTAATAATTACAGACGAGTCTTTAACCTTCCTTTTTTGGGCAAGGTGACAGTCTTGGATGACACATACTCACTTGACCCATTTCAATCTGGCTTCAGAGTAGGATTCAGTTGAGACTGCTATGATTCCCTTAGTGCAGTGGTTCTCAACCTGGGGTCCCCAGATGTTTTTGGCCTACAATTCCCAGAAATCCTAACAGCTGGTAAACTGGCTGGGATTTCTGGGAGTTGTAGGCCAAAAACATCTGGGGACCCAAGGTTGAGAAGCACTGCCTTAGTGGATGATCACTGTCATAACACTGTCAATTCACTGTTGAGAATTGTGTTGATTATAATTTAATCGATGTTCTGTGTATTTTAATATATGAATTTCATATAAATATTTGGATATGTGTATTTGATAAAATGTTTATGATTGTGTGTTTTAGTCATGTTGTAACCTGCCTTGAACAATGAGGGGAGGGGAGTAAGAAATAAAATTATTTATTTATTTATTTATTTATTTATTATTCTTACTAGAGATTTATTTTCAGCACATCTCAAAGATGGTAAAAATAATAAATACAAGATTAGAAACATCTAAAAACAGAGTAAAAACATTCACTAATAATATTTTAAAGCCATCGATTGAAGTAGTTTAAAGGTGATGGGCTGGGTAAAAGTGCAGCCAAGTGCCAGCTTTGCCTCAGTATTCTAAAAGTAGTTCACAAAAGGAATCAGCCAAAAATCATAAAATGTTAAAATTCAAGTGAGATAATCCCGTTGAAATGATAGGTTAAAATCATTTAAAAGATAAACCTCATTATAAGAAACCTCCTGGTAAGTAATTACACATTAAAAATGTGTGCTTAAACTAAAGAATAACGTATTGTATAGTTGACACTGGTTGCTCTCATATACAGTGGATACTTCATCCACTGTGATATCATATGCTGGCCATAAAAAGTGTACAATTTCTAGATATACTAAACTATTTTCTCTCCCCACAGTAAGAATTTTATCACACGCAGTTGATAAAGTATAATTACAGCAGGTTAAATTTGCCTATGATTGAGACATATAGCGGATGTCTCCCATAGTTGGAGCCCCCGGTGGCACAGTGGGTTAAAGCGCTGAGCTGCTGAGCTTGTTGACCGAAAGGTCTCAGGTTCGATTCCGGGGAGCGGCGTGAGCTTTCGCTGTCAGCCCTAGCTTCTGCCAACCTAGCAGTTCAAAAACATGTAAATGTGTGTACATCAATAGGTACCGCTCCAGTGGGAAGGTAACAGCGCTCCATGCAGTCATGCCTGCCACATGACCTTGGAGATGTCTATGGACAACACTGGCTCTTCAGCTTAGAAATGGAGATGAGCACCAACCCCCAGAGTCAGACATGACTGGACTTAATGTCAGGGGACGACCTTTACCTCCCATAGTTTCATTGTGCTTGAATAATAAATGGATTGTCTGTTTTCATTGACAGAAAAACATTTCAATGAATGCAATATCACTGTTGTTCCTTCACTATTTCAATTATTTCCTTTCATGACATTCAATATTGTGAAGCATAGGAAGATCTCACAGTCCAAATGGGGAAAAACTGCATGTTCTGCATAGGGTGAACATGAGTAGGAAGTGAGGCTGTGCAAAAGACTAATTGGGTGAGGGAGCAGGGGCAGACAAGCAAGTGAGCAGGTAAGTGGGGGAAGGCAAGCGGGCTAACATTCAGTGGTGGGTGGGGGTGAGCAAGCAGATGAGTGAGCAAGGGGTGGACAAATGGGCAATCAAGCAAGTGGGGTGAGCAAGCATGTGAGCAGAGGTGGGATGGCATGCAATGAGCAGCTGGGTGAGCAAGTGAGCAGGCAAGCAGGCAAGAGGGGCAGGCAAACAGGTGAATGGGGAAATGGGAAAGTGAGTGGGCAAGTGGGGATGTGATGGCAAGCAAGGGGCAGGCAATGGCACATGTGCCAGGACGGAGGGTGCTATGTGCCACTTCTGGCATACGTGGCCCTTGTGGAATGCATGCCATAGGTTCACCACCACTGTCCTAGATCATCTACTGAAGATCAACAGTTGGTGGTTTTGGAGGGGAAGAAGGAAGTAGCTCTTCATAGAGTATATAGATAAATGGTGGAATTTGTGAAAACAAGATATTCAGGAGTTGGAGCCAATTTACATGGCTTTATAAGGGTACAAGATAGCAACTAGTATTGACAACCTTACCCATGAGGTTAACAGCCTTATTCATACTGACAGCCTTTCCCATAGTGATTACTAATCATACTGTCTATTTATTTCCTCTAATATAAAGGAACAGTATGCTTCTGAAAAAAAGTTTTTGCAAAACAAAACTGGGGAAGTGACATTTCATACATGTAGGTTTCCCATATGAGGCTTTTTGCTGATGGGTTTCTGATTTGGTAGGTCATTGTGTGAACAAATACTATACAGGCAGCCTCTGAGTTACAAACATACAACTTAGAAACTACTCATAGTTAAGAATGGGGTTGAGACAACAGGAAGTTTGAGAAATCTACCCCTCAGAAGGGAAGTTCACTGCTGAAAGTTATCATGGGGAAAAATGTGTTTCCACTGAAGCTTTATTCTCAATCCTTGTTTCTACAACAAGCCACTTTTTTCTAAATTAAATGATCACAGGGACAGAAAGTGAGGTGAAATCTTCTGAAGGGGCCCAGATGGCGAAACAAACATCACAGGGGTGTTAACCCTTCCCTATATTATCCAAAGCTAATATATATAGAGGTGTGTGTGACTTATGCACATATTCAACAAGAACAAACCTACAATTGTTTGCAATTTGTGACTGCCTCTATAAGGTATACTGTTCATTTGATCCAATGGATTATGTCACCTTTGACATAACAATCTAGAATCTATGTTTGATTATAAAGATACATTGTATTAAGGCCTTGCAAATATTGTGCATTATTTTGGCAATATGAAGAAGCATTCTGAAATCTGTGTACATAACCAACGTTTCAAATAAATCTGAAACCATAATGCAGATATAAAACATTCAAATGTCTTTCCATCAAAATTTTGATATGCAACTTAAATTTGTAAGTCATAAGCGGTCAGATAGTAACAGTCTTTTACTTGTTAAGGATAGTTTACTACCTTTGCTTTAAAAATTTTCACTACATATCAAGATTAATAAAAATAATACATTATGTAAAGAACTCAGTTCTTTGTTGTCTATGTGATAATATCAAGAGGCATTGTTAATTAATAAGAATAAGGAAATGACAAAAAATCATTCTAATTTGAATAAAATCAATTACAAGTGTTTTATATCTTTTTAGTATATAAAATTCTTGCGACAAAGGCAAATTTTGCTTACTTCATCTCATTGACATAATTAACTCAAGTCCCAATCTATGCACTAAGAATTTATTTTTTTGTGTAGCTATTTCATAGTTCGGGAAGATGTTAAAATTGTCATTCAGTTGTCAACTATAAACCATGTAAACACAGATTTTTTTCATACTGAATATGCACTTCATAGGAACAACCTACCCATTTGTAGGCTGTGTAGATACTGTGTTGTTGAAGGCTTTCATGGCCAGAATCACTGGGTTGCTGTGAGTTTTCAGGGATGTATGGCCATATTCCAAAAGCATTTTCTCCTCATGTTTCGCCCACATCTATGGCAGATAAAGACCACATTTTCTAATACATAAATATCTTCAGTGTATCAAGAACAAGCCCCTGTTAAAATCACAACTCCAGAGTCCATTCTCAGTCTATACTCCATGTTGGAATGCAAGTGAGCAATTATATTACCAAAGTATTTTACATCCTGAGAATTCCCTCTCACATTTTGGTGCCCAGAATGAAAGATTTTTTTTTACTCAGCACAGCTTCCTTAGATAATATTGTGGTGTTACTGTAGTGGTAGAGAAGAACAATGTCTTCAGTGTCCCTATCTCCACAGTATAGGCCTTAAAATCTGCTCTAGCACACATTTTATTGGATTTCCCCCAGATTTTACCCTCTAACCAGAACACACTCTGTATTTCAAAGCATTTTGTTGCTCTAGGCTTTGCAGAAAGCAAGTAGATTGAGCTCTGTACAATCCTGTCCCTTAGGAGTGATCATGTCAATTACCAGGTCAGCTCCCTCTCCTACAGTTGAACTAGAACTTTGACAGGTTCGCAAAGTAGCAGCTGAAAAAAATTCTCCAGAGATTCCAGGAATCCTCCTGCATCCATTAATTTCTGGAGGAAACCATTTTGATAGATTTTCAACTCCTGGAGAGTATTGGTAATGTGTTATATCAAATATTCAGAGAGAAGTAAATAAATGTACTTTACTCAAAATTCTGCAGTCTAATTATTGCATTTTGCTCAGTTTGAGAAAGGGACTATGCACTTTGTGTCAACATACCTGTGTCCATCTGGTGTTCTTAATATAATTGTACAAAGCGCTCCATAAAACTACCTTTTTAATCTATTGGTTACAAATATGGTTGTGTAAAAGACATAAAGCGGTATGTTTGGGGTCTGTCACTGATTACAGTCTGCAAAATATAAATAGGATGGACTCCGTGTTTTGATGAATTGTGCTCATGAACCATCCCACGAGGGGTCAATTTTGATGTTTATACTGTTTTTTATTGATGGCATTGAATTGTTGCCAACACTGTGAACTGCCCAGAGTCCCCTTCAGTGTGGAGAAGGGAAGTATACAAATACTGCAAATAAAATAAATATTTTTTACCAATTTCTGTATCTCTTTGAAGTTCTTGAGGGCAAGGCAACAATATGGGAGGTGGTAATGGGCAGCTTCAGCTGAATGCACGAAGTAGTAATCATAATTCAGTCTTCCTTGAACCGGAGTACCCATTGGATCTCAGTTCCTTCTGTGGATAAAAGGAGCTCTTCTTTTCATGGAAGCACAATTAAATCTGGGTCCCATCAAGAAACTTTGAAAATCAATCTAAGGCCTTTTTGTGGATATTTTTAATCTAAAAAATAAAGAACTGTTAAGGTGTCTTACTAATACCTTAATGTAAGGAAATGTCAATTATCTCAGTTTATGAATGGTAGAGAACTCCTGTTTTCTTCTTGACAGTGTTGGGAATGTTTCTGTTACAAAGCATATGGCTCATTTCAGCTTTTTATCATTATAGACAGCAATGATATCTCATTATTACTGTGGGACTCAATACTTCTTAATCCAACCTTGAAAAAGTGGCAACCATGTAACAATTTTGGGAAACAGAGTTTCTTACTTAGAAGAATAGAGTGTGAAGTATTATATTCCCAAAGCTAAAATAGAAAGCTTTCTGACAATTGATTTTGTTAGTTTTCCCCCTTTCAGTTCTCCTTTGTTTTCTCTCATACCATTTGAAGCCCTTTTATCTCCCATTGAAACTGCAGAATAATTGTGCCCCTTATAGCTATATAATTCTATAACTCCATGATTTTGAGTCTGTTTTCTCATGCAAATTGTGTGTATATTTGCAACTAAATTTCTTCCCGTTCTACCAATGGCATGATAATCTGTGTTCATCCCTTCTTTCCCATCCCTGGGATATTTCCTTGTGACATATGTGGCTATGTCACAAAAAGAAACGAAGTAGGGATTTGGGATTAGAGAACAATTGCTATGACTTTTAGGCCTCTGTGAACCACAGTCATTTGGCAGGTATCCAAAATATTATGTAGCCATCTCTTCTTGCTAATTGCTGTTTCTTGAATGGCAACATTAAAAAGTAATCCAATTAACTTCCTGCTATCTCCATTCTCCCGTGAGTTAACCCTAAATTATTTTTTCCCATTAGAACAAGTCTGGACATGCCCATGACAAGACACCACTCTTGGGTTACCCCACCCAGGTAGGTTGCTCTAATGCTACTTCAGAGAGCGATTACTTCCCATCCTTTGACATATTAAACTAAAGAAACAATTTCCCAAAGATAAATAACTAAGTTCTCTTTGTTTATTGTTCCATCTTCTGAACAAAAGAGCTTATTTTCCAGATCAGCTGCCCATAAAAGCAGAGGATCTGTTGCTGCTCCTGCTACAAGAAGTCTTCTGTTTTAGGATCTGTTCTGGATGAGTGTACATGGGTTGTCAGTTGCTTTCAGTTTTTGAATGTATGTCCAAGCTTTCCAAAAAGTGTAGTTATGAATAAACTACAGGCATGCACATACGATTGCAGATGTGCATATAGTTGCCTGCCAGTCTTACTTTGGACAAATCACTAACTAGAAATAAGTCGGTGAATGCAGAAATGGTGTTCAGACCAGAATAAATTCTGCAAAGCTTTTATCTGTATAACAGTATTACAGTGCTGTGATTATAGTGAGTATAATGGTTTGGAAGTAGTGTGGATAGGGATTAAAAAGCCAAGGGGGCAAAAACTCAGTAATCAAGATAAAGTTCTCTAATATGTAGTAATTACTACCACTTTGTGAACTGAACCCTGTTGATCTCAGGCCAGGTAAATGAACAGTGTGTCAGATTATGGCAGTTACCAATTTATTGTGCATTTTATTGTGACATTTGAGAAAAAAACTAAAGCTAGAATAAATACATTTGTAAGCATGGGGTCACAGGGAATTGAAGAATAATGGTAGGTACTGTGATAATTACACATCAATTGTGTGTTTGTTTTTTGTAAAGGGATATCTTCTTGGAATGAATATCTTCTCAACCACTGTATCTGTTTGCTTCTGAGGGCCCTTCCACACAGCCACATAACCCAGAATATCAAGGCCGTTTATCCACAATATCTGCTTTGAACAGGAAAGTCCACACTGCTATATAATCCAGTTCAATGTGAGATTTATACATCTGTGTGGAAGGGGCTTCAAAAGTGTGTTTGTTTTGGCTATGAACTACCTGCACAAGGAATTTAGATAGATAATGGGAGGAAGAGAATCACAGAGAATTGGGCAACAACTGTCTGCAACTTTATTTTTTATTTATGCTTAATCTCCTACTATATTTTATCCCACCTTTCTCCCAATATAGGGGCTCAAGTCGGCTAACAGCACAAATAAACAGAACAAATGAATGTGTATTAAAATTAAAAAAACAATTAAGCCTTTTGTGCTGCATTAAACATAAAAATATTAAAACATAAAAATGCATTTAAAAACTATGCACCCATCCCCAGCAGCCTTTCTCTTATCATTCCATAAATGTCCAATGGCAAAGGTACGTTTTACCTGCCTACAAAAGACAAGCAGGGATGGGGCCATCCTGGTCTTCTTAGGAAGGGATTTTCAGAGTCTGGGAGCAACCATCAAAAAGGCCCTTTTCCTTATTCCTCCCAGCTGAGCTTGAGAGGATTTTTTAAAAATTATTTTATTTTTATTACATCATTTTTATTTATTATTTCATTAACATTTTAAATAAATCAAATTATTAAATTTTCTGTGAACTGGCAGTGAGAAACAGGCACTAAGAAGTTGGGTAGGTTATCTCTCTCAGAAGACATCAGCCTGCTTGTTAGGTAAATGGGATGGCTAAATGTAAATGAGATAAAGCATGGTGGGCAAAGTGCACTCTTTGGAAAACATGTGGTCCTCTAGGGCTGATTTTGTGATTCTCATCCCAAAGGTGAACCTTTTTTCAAAAATGTTTTTGCTATAAAGTGCCTTAAAAATATCTCATGAGGATGTAGAGGGCATTTCCATTTGGTTGGCGCACCCCAGGAGGTCAACATTTTATTTTTAAGATTTTTTATTTTTAGTACACCCTTTACTATATAACATTGTTTAATAGAGGGCATTTTAGTGTAAAAGTCTATTTTTTTTTTTGTGAGAACAGGTGTGGCCAAGATATTCTGGATGACTAATGTGGACTTCTGTTCTTTCATAACTAACCATCTCTTATGTCAATTATCTCACGCAGATGAAAACCGAGTGACAGCACAGATAAAATTATTATTTTGCTGAAAGAAGGGCAATATAGACAGTTGGATACATTTTATTTCTTTTGACAGTTGCCATAAATCTCTTGATATTGTATACTTGCCAGTCCTGGGTGGTGGTGGTGAAGAGAAAAACATGGGTCCCAGCATCCATGCCATGGGGATATAGATAGAGTGTCATAACAATCTTTTCTGATTGATAAGTGAGTCTTCCTAGGATCTCCATGAGCTTAGCCAGTCTGAACTTGACTTGGTTGCTTGGGGGAGGAAAAAGGGGCAGGGCTTGTCTAGGTGGATCATAAGGTGCATTCCCCAGTGAGATCATCCCAAAGAATTTCAATATTCTCCCAGGTTGCACACAAGTCATCATTCCTCCCTTCGTTAGGTCAATGTTTCATGTTCTTAGTATTTCAATACCATATGTATTTCTTTTGCTGTTTTACTCTGATATTACTTGTCACAGCAATGGAAGGGTTGTTGTTGTTGTTGTTGTTGTTGTTGTTGTTGTTGCTGCTGCTGCTGCTGCTGCTGCTGCTGAGTGAAATCCTTCAGAAGGCAGGGGATGGAGTCTGCATGGCTATCACTCCAATCTCCTCTGTTTTGGAAATCCCTTTTAGGTTAAATTTATGGTGAATTCAAAACCAAATCAGGAGCAATGGCTTACACCTATGGCTTAGACTTTCCAGTTGTTTTGTACGTCAACTTCCAGAAATTCCAGCCTGTTTACCAACTGTTAGGAATTGTGAGAGTTGAAGTCCAAAACACCTGGAGGGCTGAAGTTTGCCCATGCCTGGCTTATACTCATTGAACCCTTGTGTCCAGCATCCCATGATTTTCCCAGGAGGCAGGGTGGGCTTCATTCGACAGCACATGAAACATGTAGTGTCTGAATTTATGAAAATCATGAATTTTAAACTTGTGTCTTGTGTCCACTATATTTTAATCATTGGTCTGTGTATTTTGTAGAAATTATGTTTTAATATGTGTTATTTAATATACTGATTATGTGTTTTTAGCTATGTGTGGATAGGGATTAAAATTGCTCCTAATTTCTGATTTCACTCCAGGGTCCTCAAATGACAGATCAGCTTGTGTACTTCTGGAATTACTGTCCTGTTATTATACATTTCACCACTTTTTCATATTCTTTCATCTTGTAATAAGGACCTTTGAGCAAATGAAAAACAGGTTTTAAACATAAAATAGTAGAAATAATATTTTAAATGCAGTTTTATAGCATATTGCAGTTGGTTCTGAACATTATTATAATTTTAAAATATTGTTTTAAAATATTATTAACTGTTAATATGGCTGTGTATTTTAATATTATTATAAAATATAGTGTTTCTCACAGTAGGTAGTAAACAAGCCATTAAATAATGTGGGTATTTTATAGCCTTATTAGTATAAAGTTGTAATTACACTAGGTAAGAATTAAGGTAAAATGCCTTTCAGTTTGTTGGGGCCAAGCCCAACCATGCTCAGTTTACTGTGCTTTGATTTCTGCTTCAGTTGAGGTGTTTGACAGAAACAGCAATGCAAGCAGCAGGGTTCTGGCTCTTTAAGTGGCAATAAAAAAATCCCCCAGTGTTTGCAAGTATTTCTCTAGTAGGGAAAAAGAATGAAGGTGTAATGTATCACACGGTCAGAAGAATTGCTTTGCTTGGTCAGTCCAAGATCTATCTACCCCAGCAATCTGTTCCCAACAGTGCTGAGAAAGATGCCTCTATAAAGCCCTCCATAAAGTCTTTCCTTTTGGTACTACAACTCGTATCAGTCCCAGGCAGCTTGGCCAATAATCAGGAATAATAGGATTCATATAAGAAGACCTCCGAAGAAAGCTACAGATTAGGGTGGATAGTTTCCATGTGGCTGTTATCAGTGAGCATACAAAATGCTCTTCAACCCTGACTTCAGCAGTGGAACTCTCTTCCTTGGAGTGTGGTGGAAGCTCCTTCCATGGAAGCTTTTAAACAGCTTCCACAGATGGCCATCTGTTGGGGGTGCTTTGATTGGGCTTTTCCTGCATGGCAGGGGGTTGGTCTCTTTCAACTCTATTATTCCATGATTTCTATTTGAACAGAGAAATTAGAAGCCTATAAAGGGTATGTGTATCAATGTTGAGTTAAACTGTTCAGAAAGACATGTTCCCCCATGCCTCCATCAACTTTCATTTCAAATGTATCCAGGTTGAGAAACTTTCTCTAGTCTAGATTAAGGCTTCAGGAAAAATGGGGGACAGTACTACCTTTCTAAAAAGAGAATGGCAGGTATCCCCCAGACCTTGAATCTCTGTTCCAGAACAGTGAGTGAATCAGCACCTGTGTTAAGATGCTTCTTGACTCCAGTAAGTTTCAATTTAGACTGAATTTCTGTTAAAGTTGTTACTGCTATTATCCACCTGATACAAGAGTTTAAAACTATCAATAAAATTTAAAGTAGTTAATTTAAAAAAACAAAAAAAAAAACAAATAGCTAATACCACACATTTTCCACGAGCAATTTGTCTTCACATTCCTGCAGAAAGATAGCATGGAAGGCAGTTCTGAAGGACGGAAGACACCAAGAACATGTAGGCCACTAAGAAGACCTACATGTCCGTGAACACCAGATGTATGAGTGAGGGTGATGGGACAGAGACCCTCCCCCAGTTTAGAAGATCTCATATGAGAAGATAGCAAATTTAGAAGTAATTTGATTATGGCTTTGTAGATTGTCACCAGCACTTCAAATTGTACCCAGAAAGAAATTGGCAGTCATTGGTGCTGTTCACTTCCTTTGGCTAGCCCCAGGTAACAATCTGGTTACAGTTCTTTAGACTGAAAATTTTCAACACTGTTTAAAAAGTATCCCCACATAGAGTGCATTGCAGTAACCAAACAGGTAATTCAGCAATCCCTCCTTTACAACCTACTACTTGGGAAAGTGTATGTTTTGTTGAAGACTGAGAAGATG